CCTCCACAACCTCTCTCTCTCTCTCTCTCCCTCTTTCTCTCTGTTTCTCATTTTAGTTTATGTTCTAGGGTTTACACTTCATCAAATATCAATGGGTATGCTAGATCTATGGCTAGTGATCCTGTAATTTTCTATCACAAGCTTCCTAGCTGCCAGCGGCTTTGTCAGCAAATCTGCTTTCTGCTCATATGTGCAAACCCTCTTCACCACAATCTGTCCTCTCTCGACACATTCTCTGATGAAATGATACTTTGTATCAATATGCTTGCTGCGCCTATGGAACATTGTGTTCTTCATCAGAGCAATGGCTAAATTATTGTCAATAAACAAAGTCACAACCTTGCGTGGAGTTGAGGTTAACTCTGCTAACAGACTCTTAAGCCAAAGTGCTTGCATAGCTGCCACTGTAGCTGCCATGAACTCAGCTTCACATGAAGACAATGCCACTGTCTTTTGCTTCAGTGAACACCAAGTTATCAAACAACCATTGAGGTAGAATGCCATCCCTGCTGCGCTCCTTCTTCCCACTAAGTCAGCTACCAAATCACTGTCTGAATATCCATTCAGTACCTCTAGATCTCCTCCTTTGGTATACACAAGCCCATGGTCAACACTCCCTTTCACATACCTAATAATCTGTTTCACAGCTTTTAGGTGCATGACAGTAGGCTTTTCCATATTCCTGCTTGCAATTCCAACTGAAAAAGCAAGATCAGGCCTTGTGTGCAGTAAATATCTTAGGCAGCCAACTATACTTCTATACTCTGTTGCATCAATTCTCTGGCCTTTCTTGTCTTCATGCAACTTAGTTCCTGGATCCATGGGACTCTTGGTTGGATTACACTCCTCCATACCAAACTTAGCCAATACTTTCTTGGCATATCCTGATTGCTTCAAAGTGATTAAATCTTCATGTTGTTCTACTTCTATTCCCAGATAGTAAGACAACAACCCCAGATCACTCATCTCAAACTCAGCAACCATTTGTTGCTTGAATTTTTCAATTTCATGTGAATCACTTCCTGTGATGAGTAGATCATCAACATAAACTCCCAAAATGAGTGTAGCTTTTCTAGCTCCTCTTTTGTACACAGCTGATTCACTTAGGCATTTCACAAATCCCAATTTCTTCAAACTTTTGTCTAGTTTGATACTCCAGGCTCTTGGAGCCTGTTTGAGCCCATATGGTGCTTTGCTCAATTTCAGAACATATTGTTCCTTTCCTTTGACAACAAATCCTTTAGGCTGAGCAACATAGACTTCCTCTTCTAGCTCACCATTCAGAAAAGCTGTTTTCACATCCAGATGATGCACTTTCCATCCCCTATTTGCAGCCATTGCCAATATCAACTTTACTATATCAATTCTGGCAATAGGAGCAAAAACTTCATCATAGTCAATTCCTTGTTTCTACACATAGACTTTTGCAACCAGCCTGGCTTTATGCTTGACAACTTCACCTTCAGCATTCCTTTTCAACTTGAACACCCACTTAAGCCCTATGGCTTTATGACCTGCAGGTAGCTTAGCTAGTTCCCAAGTCCTGTTCTTTTGAATGGACTGAAACTCACTGTTCATTGCTTCCATCCAATTTGGGTTATCTGCAGCTTCACTGAAACATGTTGGCTCGTCTATTTCTGCAAGCAAAGCTTCTCCCTTAGAATCTGCCAACTCAACTTCTTCAGTTTCATCATAAGGGCTTGTTTGGCAGGGCTCCTCTCCGGCTCCGGCTCCTCCAGAGGAGCCCTGCCAAACGTTTTCTTGGAGGAGCCGTTTTTCAGTAAAAAACAGAGGAGCCGGAGCCGTTTTGGAGGAGCCACAATTTGTGGCTCCTCCAAAATGGCTCCGGCTCCTCCGGAGGAGCCCCTCGGGAGGAGCCGTGCCAAACAAGCCCTAAATCTCATTCAAGTTCCTGAAATGCTGTGGTTCTTCATCTGACAAGTCGTCAACTAACATCCTTGGATCTTGCTGCTCCCCCACATTCACTGAAACTTGTGGAGAATGAGCATGTAACTCTGAGTGTTCCTGCGGTTCAGTGTCTGCATTTCCACCAATTTCTGAACCTGAAACTGGTAACTATAGCATATCTGGCACATTGCCTGAGCTACTTGCAGATTGAGCTCCCCCTTGCTCTGGTTGTCCTAGTGGTACTTCATCATCAACATTAGCTGCTCCCCAGCCCATGTTGTCTGATATCTCCTCTTCTAACTGAAATTCCATCAGATTTTCTTCAGCTATTTTCCCACTCCACTTCCACTCAACTGCTTCCTCAAATATCACATCTCTGCTCAATGTTACTTTCTTCTGCATAGCATCATATAGCCTATGAGCCTTGCTCCCTTCTGCTACCCCAAGATACACCATCTTGTGACTCCTGTCATCAAGCTTCTTTGGGTGTGGCACTGTCTGTTTCACATGTGCCAGACAGCCAAACACCTCGAGGTGACCAAGATGTGGTTTCCTTCCACTCCATGCTTCAAATGGAGTCTGCTTCCCCATTGGTTTTGAAGGTAGTCTATTCAATAGATACACTGCATGTCTAACAGCCTCACCCCAAAATCTCTCTGGAATTTTCATGCCTTTCAGCATTGATCTCGCCATTTCCATAACAGTTCTATTTCTTCTCTCCACCACACCATTCTGTCGAGGTGAATAGGGTGCTGTCAATTGCCTTCTAATACCAGCTTCTTCACATACACCTGCAAAGATACCTGACAGAAATTCTCCACCCCTGTCTGATTTAAGAGTTTTGATCTTGCAACCTGTCTGGTTTTCAGTTTCAGCTTTATATTTCACAAAAGCATCACATGCCTGATCTTTACTCTTCAACATATAAACATGCGGACGCTGGTCCTGCGGATGGAGGAGCCAATGGCGTGGGTCAAGGACGGTGTGCTCGACTGCGACGAGCTCTGGCAACTCCCCAACTACGGGTGTCTGCCGCGCGTGGCACTGGAGTACCCCATGGTGAGCTCTGACGATCCTGACGTCGTCTGCTTCACGGTCTGCGAGTACCACCACTCCATCGATGGCGCACACGATGAGAAAGTATGGATAGTCCAGATCAACACGAGGAGCAAGGCGCTGCTGTCTATCCTGCTATCATCCCCTTTATATAAATTATCTATAACGCACAAGTTCTCAAGGAAAAGGAAACTGGCCTTGTTACATTGTTAATTAAATGGCCAGTCTATTGATAGCAAACTCAACTAAAGATCATTACCAATGAAGTTTAGCCAGTAAAAGATCTCCCGCACTGTAGTCTTCATTGTCACTGCGGACGACAGACAGCAGCGCCTTGCTCCTCGTGTTGATCTGGACCATCCATACTTTCTCATCGTGTGCTTCATCGATGGAGTGGTGGTACTCGCAGACCGTGAAGCAGACGACGTCAGGATCGTCAGAGCTCACCATGGGGTACTCCAGTGCCACGCGCGGCAGACACCCGTAGTTGGGGAGTTGCCAGACCTCGTCGCAGTCGAGCACACCGTCCTTGACCCACGCCATTGGCTCCTCCATCCGCAGGACCAGCGTCCACGTCGTCACGTTGAAGGCGAAGCTGGAGCGCTCTTACGTGGTCGTGCCTGGGCCGCCGCAGCAGCAGCGTGGAGCAACGCTGACGAACCTCACCGCACCACGCCGGGGCCGGCGGCCGCCAAGTTGCGGCAATAGTGCATGTCAGGCCGATCGCTGCTGCGGTGGCGCGTTATGGGGGCCAACAGAAGCAACGGTACGTACCGGAGTTTGGGGTTCTCAGCCATGTCGCACACGAGGAAGCCACTGGTGTACTCGACCCAGCACATGAAGCGGCTGCCGACGGGCGTGACCGCGTCCATCTCGGTCCAGCGCCGCAGCTCGCCGTCTCCCTCGTGGTGCACGATGGGCAGCCGATTGAGCACCCAGTTGTGGCCGCCGGGGCGGAGCACGCAGAGAGAGCTCGGCCGTGTTACACGGCGCGCCATACAGCGGCGGCATCTCGGGCTCGGCCACCAGGACCTCCCCCTCGCCACGGCGCAGTATGCCGCTGTCGTTCCAGCAGGACAGGTCGCGCACCTTGGGTGTCGCAGTAGGAACCTGGTTGTCACGCTGGTACTGCATGGAAACGTAACAGCCGGGGAGCAGGGACAGTGACGGCGGCCGCCGGCCGGCGCCCGCCTGGTACAGGAAATAATCGGACGTATCAGCTGACGCTGAGTAGGAACCGCGTTCTCGCGGCATCATCTCGGTGAGGACGGCGTCGTCGTGGGCCGCGATGATTTTTAGCTGGGGTTCGTTGGAGTGCTTGCGGTCGGCGATGGCATGGGAGCAGTCAGAGCAGTCGTCGTCGCTGCCGGAGTACTCGTCGCCGTCACTGGCCGGCCTGCCGCCTACGCCGTCGCTGCCTACGCCGTCGCCGCCTACCCAGTGGCCGTGGAAGCTGGAGGCTGCCGGCGGTGCCGCGACGCTGAAGGAGACGGTGAAGGGTAGGCCAGAGGACGTGCAGGAGGCCGCCGTCGTCTTGGCGTCGGCCGAGGAGTCGCGGTCGTGTTCGCTGTAGTGGTTCAGCAACACCCACCTTGGACCGGCTGCCGTCGAATCACTCGGCTTGGTTAGGATTTCCATGTTGCCGGAGCTTTGGATGAGGTCGATCGATCGATCGATGGATATGCATCACGAATTCACGATTCACGACGAGTAGAAATTTAAACAATGCTTTTGATCGATGACCGCCTCCATTTATATAGGCCTAGTCCTCGTTGTTCTTCTCTCAAGATCAAAACGGAGAAGAAGGCGGCCAGCAACAGCATCTGGATTATGGGCGTTTCCGGTACTGCTCGGAATTTGCATACAGGTCGGATTGGATCAATACAAGCAGTTCCCTAGCCCACTTTTTTTTCTTTCTGAACCACACCACGCACATTTATTTATATTGTGCAATTCCTGGCATAGTAATAATCGACCGACCGCCGAGTCGATTTTACACGTATGATCGAGAGATGATGCTTTACCATTATTCCGTTCTACTCCGCCGGATGGCAGCAGCAGGTTCCGCCGTAGCAATTTCCGCCGTTGCCGAAGAGCCCCGGATCCCTGCACCAGGAGTCGCAGTCCGGGACCATCTTATCGCACGGTAGGATGCAGACGTTCTTGGCCGCCCCTGTATGTACCATAACAATTAGAACAATCCGCTGTCATTACATGCATACAAAAGCGTTGTTGAGCATAGGAGTATGTGTTTTAGGCATCCGTACCATAGGATGAAAGGGTAGCGACGATGACCGCGACGACGACGAGGATCCTGCAGACGGTGGAGGAGAATGATGCTGCCATAGACGAAGGCAGTGCTGCGGACGTTTTGGATTGGAAATGGTGAAAGTCGATCTTGGGGGCTTTGGTATGATGGTTCACCCCGGCTGTGTGAGCTTATTTATATATATAACTCTGTGAATGCAATATTTAGCATCAATTGATTTTTAACGATCCTACTGCTAAATCTTTGGAAGGGTTTTGTTAAGAGAGGGAATAAGATACACTCCTAGATGGAAAGCTATCATGCGTTGGAACCACATACATTTGCCAAGTCTCAATCGTGAGATTTTCCTGTTGATGTATTAGTATACCAAGTAGGTTACAGTATCAGTTTGTTGTAACCAGCATATTCATGTAAATGAAATCAGGATTATTGAGCCTATATATGGCACCTATATATAGGGGGGAAAATCAGTGCCGATGGTCCCCATGGGGCAGCTGTGGCACGTGTGTATATACAATTATCTAACATATATGACTGCTGCATAAATTTAGGAGGTTTGGAGAAAATAGTCCTCTCTCGTGTGTTGGATAATCGCGCATGGATACATGTCGTCATAGGTGTCCATGGTTCATGATTGTTCCATGAGGACAAACCCTGCTGATTTTTTGACGGGTCTTTCCTCACCCCAATTAATCAACACGATAAAACACCACCGAATGTCTTCGGCCCACCGCTCCACTGATATATTTTTCATGGTATAATCAGTACGTGCAACAAAGAACTAGGCTGCAGTGTCGACCAATTTACCTTCCTCATCGAACCCACATCATCCGTGTTGTTGTCCAGGAGAAATAAACTCAAGGAGCAAAACTTTCAGCTATGGCTAGCACAAGTCCTCACCACACACTACTATGAGTGTGATTTTTACTCATGGTTTAATCGAATTTGTAGAGGCAGTTATCGCAACCGCCTTCATCTAATAAGGGCCTCCAAAATCTCGAGTTTCTAGTACTGGGTATATAACCACCACTAGAAATTGATTCTTAGAAGCTGGTCATACTTTTTTTTTGAGATTACACAGTACATCGTAGACGCTCATAACTCATACACTCTCACCCCTATGAACGTACGCATGCAAATCCTACCCTTATGAGCACCTTCGAAGACAGGGCCGCCAAATCCTCGAGATAAGATTGACAAAGTCACCACATGTACCTCGCTGTCGACGGGTACGTCACCTACCACTGAAAGCACAAAGCCATTAAATCCTAGAATATTTGCTTTCACGGGGAGTCAAGCCCAAGATCTCAGGTGCTACTGAGGTTCTTGTAACCACTAGGCTATAAGCCCCTTTTCGCAGCTAGTCACACTTTTTACTGTCCCAAGAAATAAATTTTCTAGAGGCGTCTAGTAAGGTGGCCCGTCTCTAAAATTATTTTTGGGTCCTAAAATTAGAAGAAAAAAAGATCTCTTAATTTTTTGGAGAAGCCCAATAGAAACTATTGCAAGTCACAAGTCGGGCAATTTTTTGTACGTATGGTTCCCATAATTTGAACGCAAAACCGGTTGCCTTGCGCGAGCCCCCTATCACCACACCACACAAATCACTTTTAACCAAGTATAGGAATGCTATCCTCAAGTAATGTGGCTTGAGCTTTGCCTCCTTGGTGCCCCCTCCACCTAAGTTTCACCCTTCTCATGAGCTCCTCTCGAGCTTGGCCTCCCAGACGGTCCTCTGCTCGTTCTCCGACTTACCCGGCACTAGTAGGAGGATCGATGCAAGAGTGAGCGGACGACATGGGAGCACCCGGCACTAGTCTCTACAACTAAAAAGACCCGTAAGTCATTGTCACCGGTCGCTAATCACCCCCCGTCCCACGGTAATCCCCATCCCACATGCTAATCCCGTCCCAAAACAACCCACCGCCCGATCGGAAAAAAAACCGCACTCCTAACCCCCCCATAGTAACCGCGCTCCTAATCGCCCCCTCCATAATTACCCTGCCCCGCTCGTCTCCTCAGAAGAAGGAACCGCAGCACCTCGCACCCGCGCACAACGACGCCTCCCGTGCACGCCGACCAGCTCCGCAACTCATCTCGCTCCAAAGAACCGCCGCCCCTGCACCCTCACCCTCGTCATCGCCGGCTGCTCCTCGCCCCGCCTCGGCGCGCGGCATATCCGCAACGGAGGTGGATTGGCAATTCGGCATCACTGCGCCTTCGCCGTCGACCTTGCCCCTGCGCCCTTGCCCTCGCCCTCTGCCACCGCCCCACGTAGCCGCTGCGCCGCCGCCTCCCCAGCGTCGTTGCGCCACCATAGCCCCGCCACGCTCCGCCCCTTCCCGTGCCACGACAGTGATGGGATCCAAGTACCTGAGGCACAAGATCCACGTCACGGATGCGGACTTCTCGGAGAGTCGGAGGAGGACAAGACGCGGGCTTGGCGCAGCCACCACCTCTCGCCCTACCCGGGAAGGAGCAGCAAGTGTCCGGCGTGGGGATTCTGTTGCAGATCTCCATGCTCGTGCTCGGCGCCTCGGCCACGAACTGTGTTACCACCACTTCTACTAATTCGCCGAGGCCAACGCCCCGCTCCTCATCGGTACGTACTCGTCTGCCCTACGCACCATGCCTTATGTCCCTGGCCGCCCACCTATGGCGTGTGAATCTGGAAGTAGGATGGTTGAATGGATCGACACGGATCTGTTCATACATTTTTTATTTGATCGCATTAACAATAGTAGTGTATGTGCATGTTACTTGCTCAATTCTCATCCTTCACAGCAAGGAAGTTTGATTTAGTGCAGAACTATGAATTGTTTCCTGGCAATAAGCTCTATCAATTGCAGGATGTTAATTTAGATGCCTTCTAATGATGCAAGAATTCTCTAAACATACAATCTAGGAAGCACATACGGAGGTCGAGTTGTTTGTTGTTTGTTCAACCCAACCTTGGTTTTCAATTATCTAGGGCCAAGTTACGTAGATAAGAAATCAAAGGTCATTTGTCTGTATGCCTAACAGAGCTTACTGATATCACATTTTCAATTTTTCTTCATTGCTTTTCTAGAAAAGGCAAAGAGCTTTATCTAAACATTGTTCACATTCAGTGCCAAATAGCAATACTAATTCACCCATTTTTTCCTGTAGCAAATAGCAATAGTCAATAGCTTCGCATGCAAGAGCGATGATGTTCTCTGTTCTCGCTTCTGTGACGTTCATATAGCAGCAATCTCGGTTCTAATGGTGGCTTTGTTTTTAGTCACTTGCTTGCATCCTTACAATCTCTGAAAGTGGAATTCAATTTTAGCACCTGAAACATGTTCAATTCAGACAAATGCTTGAATTGGTCACATTTTAATTGTGCATTCCTATTGTTCTAAGAGAAAGCACGGGATGGGTTGAGAAAGAAGATAGAGCTAGGGAGAATGCGGGCTGCCTGCTGGATCTTGGCACCGCCGCTGTCACTCCCTTTTGCTGCTCTTCATGCACATGAGCGATCCACCTCGTGTGCCAGTTCAAGACTTGCCACTGGTCTGTACTAACTCTTGGCATGATGTTGTTAGCACTGTTGATCATTGTTACTGATAACTTTCTTCGTTGATCTTATTCAAGTAATTGGCGTCTATAATTATGCAGGTGCTAATTTGGTTGATTCCACCTGGCCACATCAGAAAAGTGACGGAGTCAACAAAACTCATGATTTTGAGGACAAGATATTGCATTTCTGAACTATTCAGTGCTGAGAAAAGTAAGGTGTTATTTATTGGTTGGAGTAATCTCTGTTGCTATCAGGCAGGAACCAATGGTGACTTTGGTTTGTCATGATTCAAGGCAGTGCTCTTGGTGATGTGTTAGTCATATTAGCCCCAGGAACTCAAATGGCTTCAGAAAAAACTCAGTGGTGAGTGCATGACCCTTGTTGGCCCATCTTTACCAAAAGAGCATTTTTCCCTACTTTAGTTCAAACCATAGCTTATAACTGGCCAAACCCACGTTCATACATAGTTTGTGTCCTATCTATTATGATATCCCATATCATGATTCTAGAAAGTAGACCATTCAACTTACTAATTCAATTAATGCAGTATACTTATTATTCAGTTCATTGGACTGTTTTAACCTACAATTCTTTTCAAGCAAGGCTATGTTTCTACTTTGTTAGATATGATGTCGACAAACTTTCAGCTATATTTTAGATCCATTGACACCCTTGATACAAGGCACAGCAGGTGTTTTGTGGCTCCAATAGACTGCTCCCTGATGGTTTGCCTCGACCTCCTTCGGTCCTTCCTGTTGTGGTGCTGCTCATGCCTCCACAACTTCTCGTTGTCTCCACTGGTCGCTGGAGGAGGGTACATGAGGGTGAGGGCAGTGAGCCACTGCTCGCTGTGCGTGCCATGGCCGAGATATGCGAGAGGGCACTGCGGTGGGATGCATGGTTCACACTGCATGAGGCCATTCAGGCACTTCATGATAGGCTATTTGCCATCGACTACATGGAGCAAAGGTTGGAGCACTTCGAACTGCAACCATACCAATCCGTTAATGCGAGTATTGTTGAACGTAATTGATCTATTCCAAGCTAAACACTATCAATTACATCATGAAATTTTCTATGACCTGAACCTTTGATTGTTATGGATCAAGCATAAGATGAATTGAGAGGAGTTGATTAGACAATGCCTCTAGGATAATTGCACTTTTTTTAGTCCAAGCTGTAAGAAGTGTCAATATTTTCTTCTTTTGGTCAATCTTTCCCATATTGAGAGATAATTATGCATTTTTCATGAAAATTTGAGAAGCTGCACAATTACCAGGGGAATGAATTGTGCGAAAATAGCTATCTTTTTCCCTAGCTGGGCACGTGTAAAAGTTACATTTCGAAAAACTGCATGTTGATATCATATTTTTCATGTTTTTCTTATTACATTAGATTATTTGTTGTTCCCGTTGCAACGCACGGGCACTCACCTAGTAAACACATAAGCCTTAACCTGTGAATCCCCTCCCAAAAAACATACTTACCCCTTTTGGTGAATTTATTTGGTCGAACTGTAAGAAACTATTGATTGGAGCAACTAGTAGAGTAAAATTTTCAAAGCAACTGTAATTGTTCAATTTCACTAAGGACGCATAAACCAAATAGTAATTATTTGAAATCTACGACAACAACAAATATAGATTGTTAAAAGTATAATTTTAAATTGGTTTTACATAAGGATTTAAAATGAATCTGTAATTATTTCTTCCATGTCAACCATAGTACCATTATTTATAAATGCAAAAAGGTCCATCAACCGGCCGTGCGGGGTGGATGAGGTATTTTTTGATCGGTATAACTTGGACGTACATAATCCACACAACTCCACACTCACACCACACGCACATACACGCGTGCGTGTCTGTACACACACAAAGAATAGATTGGGAGGCTCTATAGCCTCAAGTGTGCCACAAACATGTAGTATCACCAAACGTGCAGAATAGATTGGGAGGCTCTCTAGCCTCAAGTGTGCCAGAAACATGCAGTATCACCAAACGCGCACGTGCACGTGCACGTGTACCCTAATTTTTCTATAGAAATTCTAGAAAAAAAAAATACGACACCAGGGTTTGAACCCTGGTGGGTAGCGTCCCGCTGGACAGCCCTACCATTGGAACACATGTATTGAGGATAGACCGAGTTGGTGATAGGAAGAAGGTTGGTGAGATGAAGAAGATAACGATGATACACTATTTGATGGGCCCTATCAAAATAATAGCTACAGTGTTAAATCTCAGTCCATTTTATTTGACTAAATAATCCCACCCAAACAAGAGCAGAGGATCAATTCATTCCTCACAACGAAACACTAGTAGGACGACCCTATATCTGGAAACATAGATAGAATCTTCCTCTCACATGTCTTCTCAAATCAAAGGCACGGTTCCAGGGAATAGCTAGAATGATTCCCAGTAAGAATGTTTGGCTAATTTATATTACCTATGATCAGATGAAACGATTCCTAGGTGGAATCTTTTTTTGAGACGAAAGAAGAATTATATTAGATAATAGCTGATTACATCAGCACATTACAAGCACTATGGAATACACTACACATATCCAAAAATTGATTTTTATCTAAATTGTACCCACGATGTGAATAGTTCATGATCTCAAAACCAAACCTGTATAACGTTTTGTATGAATGACCGCACAGGAAAACACTCGGTAAATGGCCAAGAACAGATGCCCAACGAACGACGGCCAACATTCCACCAGGCGGAGTTGAGAAACTTCTTCTTTCTTATGTCTTTCTTCTTCTTCTTTCTGCCACCGAAGAATGAGGAAGGATGATCTTAAACTTATTTTCACTAGTCCTTCATCATGGTCAGATCTAACCACAACAAAATGGAGAAGAGACCGAAAAAAATTATTCTATGGCGACGACATCATCTCCTTCACTACAAGATATGTGACGGTTTATGACAATTAATCTTTGTCATAATACATGAAATTTGTCACATATTAGCATTTGTGACACCTGCATGACTAAAAAGCTGGCGTCAAAAACCATGCGCCTTAAACCATGTTTTATGTTGTTTAGATGTTGGTGTCACAAATATATGACATTGGTTTTGATGTCATAAAAGTTTATGACAATTGGTTTTAAGTCACAATTCCTTACACCATGCTACATAGCAAGCAGGCTTATAATGGGCCAAGCCCATTGTTATGGCTCATTTTTTGGCCTGGCCCATTTCTTGTTTCCATGCTTTTAAGCCCATTGTTAAAGCTTATTGTTGACCTATATTTATTTTGGCCTAACCCATCTAGTTTAGGCTGGTCACATGAATGCTTTTGGGCTAGCCCATGTGAATGTTTTTGGGCTAGTCCACATTTTCATGAGCTGATTATACTGAGCCTACACAAAAATACTTTTTTATTATGCAACCCACACTACTTTTTTCTGGGTCCCATTTTTCTCAATTACAAAATCATAAGCCACGATTTTATTTTCAGATCCACATTCGAGACAATACTATTTGAAAACAAACAAACTCATATTCGGACATGCATTTTGAACATATAATCAAGAAGCACATTCAGTAATGACCAATTCAGAAGTAACATACGTATATGATCACATTCTATTAAAACTACTAACTACACCCCTAACGAAAGACCTGCAGCAAAATATAACATTGTGACTAGCCGGCAAACACCACCATAGAAAAATACGCCATTACAACTCTAATGGTGAGCTGCGACACCAGGGCTCCCTCAGCTCCCTCCTTCGCCTTGCAAGCTCCTTGTAGATCTTGTTCCTGTGCTAGAACTGCAGAAAATTACAAAGCCTCGAGTTAACATTCTCCAATCAATGATGCAGACAATAACAGCAGCAGAAAATCATGCATGAAAAAGAAGGGCAGCCAAGAGCACGAAAAATCTAGGCAAGCGAACTCAGCTAACGTTAGGATTAGTACTTCACTAATCACTAGTACACCAATAATCAGAACGTAACAGTGGTGGCCGCTAGACGATAACAACAGCTATACAGTTCAACAATTGACAAGCAACAGGCCACGGTGATTGAGAAGAGAAGTGATTGAATAGCATAAACAGATGTATGATTGGCACCCAAATTATACATATAATCTGCTTCCAATAAGATAACTTTTCTCTTAACTTGCCCACATATCATTTTTGACAGAGTTAAGATCCTCTTGTTCTCAGTTCATCCATTCTTATTTCACAAAGAAATTCACAAAGAAAAAAGATAATGGATCTGGTTGTACCTATCGGCTGAATTCGAAATTAATCCCCGGTGAACCTCTACATGATTGACAGCCAAACATGCAGATGTGTGTAGAAAGGCTCAAACGCACAAACCTACATTCAGAAGCACACATCACTCATTTCATATTAGCTGAGATAAAGTGAGCATAGGACTGGTGTAAGCAACATGGTTATGTTTCTGCCATTCGCATGTTGAGGTCCTTCTCTCAAGGTTTTCAAGACAGTATTACAAAAATAGTCATCACAATCAATTAGTTAAAATCTAAGCACAAGGAAGCAAACTAAAACTGAGCAATAGCCTCCCATCGGTGATGTTAAAATATTATGTGACACTTCAAAAATAAACATAGAGCAATCATGCATGCAACTGATGGAAAAAAGTTAGACAAAGTACTATATATGATTATAACTACTATTTCAATATTTAAAGGCTGGCTGCATATGAGAAATGTAGAAAAGGGCACTTAATTAAATTTTTCTGAACTAGGCAGTAAGCAACAATTAATTTTGCTGCCAGACATCCTTAACTGGAACTGAATAAATTCATGAACTAGGCAGTAAGTAATAATACTTAATTTTGCTATCAGACGTCCTTAACTGGAACTGAATAAATTCATAAGATGAGATCGTCTCAGCACCACTTATTTCTCATATTTTCCTCAAATTTCAGATCCTTAATGTCAATTCCAAATAGTCAAGTGTTTCAATGCATATGCGTCTTATTTAGAATGATAGTAGCGACCCAGGTTACCAGGAAATCACAGCATCTGCATCTTATTCTTTGTGTGACAACAAAAAGAGGAAATAGCAAAACAGCGGGGTTGGGGCATCAGAAACTAGGTCGCGGTGGAGAAGGATGATGGAGCCATGACGCCATGGAGGAAATGGGCCCACGACAGAGATAGCGACGGAGAGCGCTCAGGGCCCGCCGCGCGGGCATGTGAGGAAGGAGGCATGGTGGGAGAAGATGTTCGTGCCGACACTACACGCGATGCTGACCGAGAGACAGACGCAGCCGGAGAAGAAGACGCCACGGGCGAGGCCGATGTCGAGGAAGAGCGTCATCATGCTGCACGCCACAAGCTTCTTCATGGGGCTGCTGCTAGGGGGGCCGCGGCTCCAGGATCCCTCTGTTCTCAGATGGCTACAACCAGAGTAGGACTGTAAGTAACTAGTGAGTATGCATCATCGAGCGAGCCTTAAGAATTTTAGATGGACCGTGAGAGAAAGCAGGCCGGGTTGGTCTGCAGGCCAAGGGAGGTGGACGGACGAACACCCTCATCAGATCATTATCATTGTCCTTACTCTCAATTTCTCGCTTATGGTACTAGTTTTGTACTAAAATGGATGTTTTCCATAACAACTTTGTTACGAAGAAAAATACTTTAGATTTTATCTCGTTACTATACTCCCTCTATACAACAACAACAACAAAGCCTTTAAGTCCCAAACAAGTTAGGGTAGGCTAGAGTTGAAACCCATCAGAAGCAATCAAGGTTCAGGCACGTGAATAGCTGTCTTCCAAGCACTCCTATCTAAGGCTAAGTCTTTGGGTATATTCCATCCTTTCAAGTCTCCTTTTATTGCCTCTACCCAAGTCAACTTCGGTCTTCCTCTGCCTCTCTTCACGTTACTATCCTGGCTTAGGATTCCACTACGCACCGGTGCCTCTGGAGGTCTCCGTTGCACATGTCCAAACCATCTCAACCGGTGTTGGACAAGCTTTTCTTCAATTGGCGCTACCCCTAATCTATCACGTATATCATCGTTCCGAACTCGATCCCTTCTTGT